CAGCCAGTGGAGATGGGCAAGTTCTTCCACGTTGCCCTCTGGCGCGAGCTCATGGCCGAGGCTGATTGCAGTGACGTCGACCTCGTGGATCAGATCATGGCCGGCATGCCGATCGTCGGAGATATCGCCTCTTCGCACAGATGGAAAGCCGATCGCAAACAACATGCCGAACACCTCTCGGAGGATGCCCTTCGATCGCGGGCCTGGGAGTTTCGATCGAAGGTGCTGAGTGCGATCAAGAGATCTCCTGTTACAGACTCCCCCAAGGTCTGGGAAGGGACCATGGAGGATGTCCGAGAAGGGTCGGCGATCGGTCCCTTCTTCGACGAAGCGGAGGTCTCGGAGTTCGTGGGTGATGATCATTGGATTCCCACTCAGCGATTTGAAGTGGTCCAGAAGAATAAGGTCAGGGGAGTCGATAGTGCTACTTCCAACGGGATCAATATGGCGACGATCGTCACTGAGAAGCTCGAGCTCCCCTCGACGGATGCGAACGTGGCGGTGATCAAGTGGTTGCGCTCGCGACTACCGAAGTCCCCGCTACGAGGCTGGGTTCTCGACGAGCGCCGGGCCTATCGGCAGGTCCCGATCTCCCCGGCCCATCGCAAGTGGAGCGTGGTCGCTTTGAAGGATCCGTCGACCGGGAAAGTGGCTTTCTTCGTGATGGTCGGGCACTCCTTCGGGCTGGTCTCGGCCGTCTACAACTACAATCGTCGCTCGGCTGCTATCACTGACATTCTAAGGCGCGTGTTCATCGTGGCCGGCTTCATTTTCTACGACGACAAGTACGGCTTCGAGCCGGAAGCCACGGCTGACAGCGCCTTCGCGCTGGCCGAAAAGGTTCACTGGTGGCTCGGGGCTCGATTTGATCAACAGAAGCTCCAGCTGTGCTCCGACCCCACAATCCTGGGCGTGACTTACGATCTCGACCAGTACTTGCTCAAGATCAAGAAGTCGCGGAAACAGGAGCTCTTCGAGGAGATCTCCGCGATCCTCGAGCACGAGGAGCTCTCTCCTGGACAAGCCGGGAAGCTCACCTTGTCCGATCGGCAGTACTCTAGGAAGACTATGAGTACGAGCCTGTCGCCTGCTCTCCTCTACTCCCTCTACAAGTGGCGGACGCTCGTGATGCACGGGCCGCCGAGGCCTATCCCGAGCTCGGGCCCGCGGAAGTCTGACGTTGTGATCTTCACCGATGGATCGGCTCCGAGCTCGAACCCCAAGGATCCTTCTTCTGAGATGATTGGGGGAGTGATGTTCACTAAAGATGACCCGCCTAGGCAATTCGCCTCGGGGGTGTCTCGACAGATCATGTCGAGATGGTTTCCCCGTAAGACTCAGATCTGCATGATTGAACTGTTAGCTGCGGTCGCTGCGATCCAGACTTTCAAGGAGGAGGTCCGTGGAAAGCTGGTTCTCCTCTTTATTGATTCTGAGCCCGTAGAAGCTGCCTTGATCAAAGGCTACTCTGCTAAAGAGGACGTTTGTGAGCTCGTAGGAATCTTCTGGGAGCTTGCTCTCGAGCTTAGGTGCTCAATCTACATCGATCGGGTACCGACCGATTCTAACCCCGCGGATAACCCTTCTCGTGGTGATGTCGCTACAGGTCTGCTCTGCGGTTGGATCACCGTCCCCTCGGACTTTCCGAAAGGAGTTTGAGGGCCTGGGAATATCGCTTGTCTGATGTGTCCGATCGGATGATGTTGCGGTCCGTGGTGAATGCCATGGCGCACCCCTCGGTGATCGGGGGTCCGATCGGACTTGTGAAGATCAAGTGAAGTTTTGATGATCGGACTTGTGGCCGACTCCCACGTTGCGGTCGCATAAAATGGAGCGACTGCCGTTCGTCTGTTCAGCGAGGGCTCCGAGCGTCTGCGATCGTAGTAACTGGTCTCCTAATTATCCGTCTGGTGGGTAGGAATTAGGAGATCAGTTTCGCGATCGTTGGAACAGACGTGATCATGTTTTACCGTGGCCATTTTGGCAATAGCCGATCGGGCCATACCGAAAAAGTCCCGCCCTCTCCACCCTGTTTCTTTTCGGCATGCGGGATCCTAGCAGGGATGTTGGTCTCCAGGCGCTCGCCTTTGGCGAGCACGATCAGCTTTGCCGTCCCTGCGTGGATTGCGGCCTGTTCACTGGCTGTTTCTGCGACGGGGCTGGCGAAGAATGTTACGCAGCCGTTCGGATACCCCGTGAAGAGTGGGCTCCGAACCAACGCACGCCTTTGTGCACGGCTTGCGATCGTCGCCTGGATATGTGTCATGTCTGCAGAAAGACCCCCTGGGTCACGCCACCGGCTCATCGTGATCGCGATCGTCACCAGCCGGCCGGCTATGATCACGGGGCAGATCCTCCCCTCAGCTGGGATCAGTTGGCCGGTGTGCCCTCTGTTCAGCGGCCGGTGCCAAAAGCCCCGCCGGCCAAAGCTGCTCGAAACAGAAGCTTTGATCAGCCGGTCTACCATGTAGATCCCAAGGCTGGTCTGCCGCGCCAGGGCCGAGCGGCTCCAAAGGGGCGTCCTCTGTTCGCCGAGCCTGCTCAGTACATAGTTCCAGGGCAACCTCCCCGATCGCTCGACGAGGTGCCCGATGACGTCCGGATCAGCGGACCGGTTCACTATGTCATCCCAGGGCAGCCCCCGCGGCGGCTGGATCAGCTCCCGCCCGGTACGCAGCTCCCTCCGGGCACCGAGATCATGGTGCCTACGAGGAGCTCGAGTCCGCCGACCAAGGCGCCGCCGACTCCCGCCCAGATCGCGGCGTACCAGGCTTCTCGCGCTGCTCCCGCTCGGACAAAGGCCAAAGCTACTCCCGATGCGGCCTTTCGTGCTGCCGAGCGGCAGTTGGTTGATTTGCTCGGCGCGGCCCCCCTCGACGACGACCCGATCGAGGAGCCGTCGCCGGAGCCGGATGATCCGATCGAAGACTTTTAATTTTGTTCGCGGGGAATATCGCTTGTCTGATGTGTCCGATTGGATGATGTTGCGGTCCGTGGTGAATGCCATGGCGCACCCCTCGGTGATCGGCGGTCCGATCGGACTTGTGAAGATCAAGTGAAGTTTTGATGATCGGACTTGTGGCCGACTCCCACGTTGCGGTCGCATAAAATGGAGCGACTGCCCTTCGTCTGTTCAGCGAGGGCTCCGAGCGTCTGCGATCGTAGTAACTGTTATATATTATATATATATATATACATATACATATATACACGGAGATTAGACATGCTTCCGTTTGTGAAGCAAGAATCAGACCAGAAGCAGTACGATGTACGCAATGACAGAGGGGTTAGATGTAGTTGCGCCGGGAGATATGCTTTTCCTCGAGAAAACAAAACGGGATGCTACAAGGCCTAATTAGGACGGCTCAGGGGGCGAAGCAGACGTCTCCACTGGCAGAGTGCCCTTGGTCTTAGCAACCAACCAAATCCCAGCAGCAGCATAAGAACTTGGTGAGCTCTACGTTGAAGGCATTGAGGCAGTTTTACACCGTCGGATCAGCTTCAGCATAGGAACCAGGAGACGTACTATGGCATGACGCCTGGGCAAATTTGACAAGCAAACCCGCGCAAAGAAAATTAGAACAACCATCCACCAAAAGACACCAAGAGGCAGCCAACAAATGCTGCCCTCCTTCTCGAGCAACTGCAAAGTCTAAGCCCGAAATTGCTACAGCAACCGACGTCAAAAATGATTGGTTTGATGCCAAGGAGTCTTCCCAGTCCATGCGGTCCCAACATCCTCACACAGCAAGCCTCAGTTTATCAAGCTTCGCTGTTCTTTCATCGCTTTCTGCTTGAACCTTACGTCGCAGACACTGAACACGAGACAAACACCCCGGCTTGCTGTTCGTATTCGATTACTGCGCCTGAGCCGCTTCACGACCGTGTGGGGAAAGTTGTTGCTGAGGCCAGGCTTCCGAGGCCGGTAAAGCTCTTGCAAGTCGTACACGTCGGCCGGAACCCAGCAAAGCTCCGAGGCAAAGTAACCGCAGCATCTTGAAAACATTCAGGACACTTGCTTGGAACATGCATGCTGTGGACATTCACTGACATGTGTAGCCCAAGCTCACAAGAGCCAACTCCGCCCGTGTACGAGTGCCGCGTGACCAGTGGTTTTGGTAAATTTAAGGTCTTCAAGTCGGCCCGAATGAGGAGACTCATTGCCACGTCTTCCGAACCTATCGCCTGACATAGTCCACCGCAGAGCCAATGGGGCTCTTGTCGGATGTGACATGAACGCATATGAAAGCGGCCCTTCTTGCTCCTTGTCCGTGTGTGTGTGTGTGTGTGTGTGTGTGTGTGTGTGTGTGTGTGTGTGTGTGTGTGTGTGTGTGTGTGTGTGTGTGGGTGTGTGTGTGTGTGTGTGTGTCATTGTGCGACTACGCAGTAATTAGTTGGGCCGTTAGGATTTCAACCGCCTTACAAGGGTACCTGCTTTCATGGCTCATTTGAGCATCCGTTTGATGCTGGATTTGCAGTGACTGAGGTTCACAGAAGTTCTTCTTCGAATCGGAGGAAGACGCCCAGCGGAGCTTGGTGCAAGACATCAGAAGCTCGTTCCCCAGATTTGGTGAGCCATGATGCAGAGGCACTGGAGTTTGGATTTTTTGCTGATCTTGTCTTTAGACACGACAGGTCACAGCCAGCATTTGGCTGTACAGACGGGTCCACATCTGGATCGATCAGCATCTCCGTGCCTCTCCATGGGCAGCCAGAAGAGCCACCTGTCTGTTCCAGAAGCCAAGGACAGGATTGAGGGTGTGATGAGTCGTCTCATGCTGACCATAGATCTGCCAGCTGGCTGCACCCGCAGCAAGACAAACGACTGATGGCAAATGAACTTGAACGGAGAGACATATACATACGTTGGTTAATATACATGTATATAGAGTGCTGCTAATAGATTAACAGAGGAGAGTTTGTTCAAGCAGATCCGGGGGCAATCTTCAGACTCCCCCAGTTAAGTGGCCACTGGCCCGGCGTGCCGAGCGTGCGAGAAGATGACACGAATGGGTGCAGCACAGGATGCAACGGGGTCGGGGGCGGAGGTTGGTCTTCCGGCACAGATGCTTCTCGGCTCCGACCGTGCACTCAGGCCTTGACGTTCGCTTTCAATGTGCCCAAGCTTTCCAGAGACTTCCTGAGTTCTCCTGCCTACGGCCTCTTGGCACGAAGCCTCAATCTCCATGCCACCACGACGCGGAGAATGAGCACGTTCGATGGCATGGGACTTCCCAGTCAAAACTGCAAGATGCTCACCCGGCAGTGCTCCACAACCCAGGTCCAAGCAGTGTGAGCACCCAAACGTCACTGCATGTCACCCCAATTGTTCACACGATTGCTGCTCGACGTTTCTGCCACCTGTACAAAGCTCGAAATTAACGAGTGTCAAGTGCCATGTTTCCAGGAAGCTTCGGAAGCCTACCGGCGTTGGAAGCTTAGTTGGCTTCTGAAGCCGGCCTGTCGGCCTCGGGACCGACCCATGTTTGTTTCCTGCGCTTTCTCCTACGTGCCATCGCTTTCTGCGAAGGTCCCACCACAAGCAGCGCTTTGTCCGACGTCTCCTCCAGGAGCGGCGGGTGCTAAAGAGTGAAGCAGGGCGAAGCTATGCCATGTAAATCTCTTGCAAACCTTGCATGCGCCGCTGAGACGCATGCTGAGTCACAGTCAGCTCCAGGAGCAAGCCGAGCCAGCAAAGCAGCTTTGGGAGCTGATGTTAGAGTCTTGCAAGAGGGCTCGCCGTGAGCTGTCCACCGACCAGACAGTGCTGTGCAACTTAGAGCTCACTTGTGATCCTTCTGCCATGATCCGTCAGCTGGCGGCGTCCTTGAATACATCGCAGACAGACGGTCCGCAACCTTGTCAAAGACAGGGTTGTAGAAGTCCCTGCATGGCCGAACATCCTGCCCGGCTTCAAACCCTTAGTTGGCCGAGACGATGTTGTGCTCTGCAGTGCTTCTCCGGTTTCTTGACATGTGCTGGCGGAACCGGCAAAAGTGTCCCCAAGAGCATGCGGAGGTATTATCACGTGCAGATTTGGCTTTCGTAACATGTGAAGGCCAGAGATTTTGGTCGAAAGGCCAACCGCTTTCCACAAGACTGCCTTTCGGAGCATTGACCTCCAGTGCCTGTGCTGCTGCTGCTGCTGCTGCTGCTGCTGTGTCCAATATTCCGTCCCAAGGTCAGGTCTCACGCAGGAATCATAACGAAAACTGTTCGAAACACGAATCACACGTGTTTGACTCTTGCAGAGCTTCACGGGATCTGCACCACAGGCTAGGCATCTTGATTTTGATATGTCCGTGTACAAGCCTGCACTCCCTCGCAGACGCTGAGCTCGCAGCCCTGTCTGCGCTTCGTCGGACTGAAAGCCCTTGACGAGGCCGGGTTTGTGCGCCCCGTCCGACGCAGCTGCGCCTGTTCACAGGTCTACGAACTCGTCGGCATGGACGGACTGCTGGGGGTGCGACCCGGGGACAACACCTCGGAGGCGACGGGCATCCACTAAGACGCTTTGAATCGCTTTGCTACGCTCTGCTCTCGAGGCCATCGCTTTCGTTGGAAGGGGTGCAACCGGCGCCAGTCTGTTCCGGCGGCTGACGGGCCAGGCCCGAAGAACGAAAACCCAGCAGCCATGACCGACGAACCGCCCCGCCCGACTCTGCAAAAGGAGCCGGGAGCAGAAGCTCCCGTTCGCGGTCCTTCTGCCTGGGGGCAGCCAGGCGCAGTTGCACGCGCTTGCATGCGCAGTTCCAGAGCTCTGAAACTTGGAGACTAAGCCGGACATTGCAGGCAGCACGAGAGTGCGTGTTGTATTGGAGCAGACACTGACGGCAGGCAATGGAGGGATTGCTTGGAACATCTGTCAGGTGTTTGAGTCTTAGCTTACAGCTGTACAGTCATGTTCACATGGTCATACCGTCTGGACAGAATGGAGTCTAGACTGATCTCAAAACCGGTCCGCTTCAAGGGACTTGAAACGCTCGAACGGCGACGCCTTACGCTTGCAGTTTCCCTGCAATGAGCTTTCAGATCCCACTGAGCGCAAATTCGAATGCCAAGCCAATTGTGATCACGGTCCTAGTGTAAGGCGAGCGATGCGATGATGCGGAACCTTTTTGTGTCGACCTGGTTTGGCGAGGGCGCCATGCCGGCTATCTCCCGGTTTAGCCTTGCTGTCCGAACTGTCATCATAGTAGCTCTTGAGAGGCAATTGAGTTACGGATGTGGCCCCAGCCGCTTATCATCGGCATGGAGCTGTTGAGCCCACAACACAAGGCTCCGCAGAATACTCCAAACGACATGCTGGAAAGTGCTCGAAGTCTGTGACACTTTGTAATTGAAGCAGTATGTGAGATAAAAACAAGAGAGATAAACGACGCTTCACAACCTTATGTCTTTTTGGCATCTAAACGACGAGTCGACACTTGTCAGTCATATAAGCGATTCAGCAGGGACTCACCTCCAGGTCGTCTCCTCGAAAACAGGAGGAGTCAAAACGGGGCGACATTTGTGGCGCGCCGGCAAGAGGCCTAATCTTCAAAGGAGGAGCCTTGCCAGAAGATCTCGAGGCAGGTGGAAGTAGAATTGTACGCCGGAGCGCAGCAGACCACCGATGGCGTGACACCACTCATGCTCTGTGGAGTGCAGTCCACTTTGTGTCTCTGCCCGTCTTCCTCCATCTTTTGGTCTTTAGCACACACTCCGGCGATCTATGAAGTTCTATGGGATTCTTACATTGGGTGTAGAGCGACCCGGAGCCGCCCGCACGCGGAATCTTCCGTGCTCCCGCTGTAGCGCGATGCATAGGTTACGCTCATGTCCCAATCTACGGCCCGGCGCAGCCGCGTCCTCCAGAAAGCGCGATTCAATGCAAACAAATCCCAGCACTTTTGCTTAATTTGGTTTCAAAACGCTTGACCACCCGTATGCCGTGTGAGAGGCGGCAAGTATTTTGAGCGGGGCCCTGAAAACGACCAGAAAAGGTTGGCAGGATTGTGGGGTGTACAACGCTGAACCCTCCCAGACATGGCGGGATTGTGATGGCGGTCTCGGATCGCATTCGGATTCGGTGCTCAGTGATTCGCAATGCCATGCACCATGCCACCATGTTGCACCAGACATCACCATGCCAGGACCTCGTGCAGACAGGAGGCTTCCTAAGTCTGCACCGGCCGATGCATGGGACACGAAAGTGCGGCCCTGATCCACCGAGTCTGCGTGAAGAAACCGCGGCTTCCCCGTGAGTTGCTGCAGGCAGACGACGCGGAGGAAGTTCCGGACAGCTGGGAGGACATGTGAGCCAACATCTCCCTCATGGGAAGTCACTGTAAGTAATCGGTTGGTGCACTGAGGCCAGCTGAGGTCGAAGTCCTAAACACTCCAACAGTTATGTCTTAAAACATAGGAAGTCGCCTTTCACGAGCTGGGTGTACAGATTCAGCAGAGCCAGTGACGTGCCGAGCGGAAGCGGAGCTTGAATGCGATGGTTCTCCCAAAGCGGCATAATTCTCGGCATATCGCAGTCTGCTGTCTTTCAGCCATATTGCCTGGCAGTCCTGCACTTGCCACAGCGCGCTGGCATAGCCACTGCTTGTACAGACGGCGGGCATGAGCCACATCAGCGCCCTTCTGGTGAAGGGCCACATGCTCCTGCAGTCACAGGCAAAAGGGTTGGTGCATCCAGCAATGAGCATCGATCTCTGCGAGGGCCAGAGCTGGGAAGAGCTCGTGGTGCGCAAATGCTGCGTGGCTCGAAGGGCCCAAACCCCCCAAAAGCAGACGACTCGTGTTTTCTTGCCCTCTCCGACTCAAAGGCCCCAACTGGCACCTGCAAAACCCTGCGCCTGCTAATAGCATTGCAGGCACGATGACCGGTGCCGACTTCTTCCCAATCCGCGAGCTGTCCACATATCAGGCCTGCACCAAGATGGGCGTGCGTTCTGGTGGGTGCATTTCAGCGGATGTGCTAAATACTCGTTGCGATCACAGATGATCCGACCCACCGGAATGCAGAGTTGTGGCTTCGAGTGCGATGTTTACCTCATCAAGAGGAATTATGACACATGCCTTCATGCTCCCCCCCTGTCTGCCGACAGACGAAGTGGACGATCAAGGGCCGAGTGACCAGCAAGGCGCCACTGCAGCTCGTCAGCACATCCGGCCGCACCCATTACCCAGAATACCCAGCGTGCCGACTTCGACGTGGTCTGCGCCTGTCTGAGGAGAACCTTTAAGCAGCGGAATGGAAGTGGCCAGGGCAAGGCTTTGCTTTCGGCGACCACTGCTTGCGTTTCTTTGGACTTCGTCGTCAGGTGTTCCACGTTGAGCTGCTTGATGCCGAAGGCACAACACACTCCACTCCACAAACCGGTGGGGCAACGGCAGCGGGATAAACAGAGGTGGAGAGATCCGTGCAAGTTTCTTCAACGATGCGGCAGACAAGCACTTTGAACTGTTGGAGGCACTGCAGACTATTCCAAAAGTCCTAAGCAGCCTCCCGCAGCTTTGAGTCAACAGACCGAAGTGATGCGAGGTTGGCAAGTGCTTCACTCTGAGCAAGGGGCAGGTGAAGCTCGCAAACAGGCAATACAATGCCTGCCCCTATTCCGCAAAGAAGGGTCAGCTGACCTCCAGTGTTTGCTCTGTTGAGGCACGGTTGCCTTAATATGTTGTCATGGTTGCTCTGTCCTGTGTGTCGGCCGTGGTCCGAGGCAAGCATCGCTATGAGCTTGTCTTCGACAAAGCTTGTCAGGTCCGAATCACAGGAAGCCTCTGCGCATAGCTGTCGGTCCCGAGCTGCGTTCAGGTCGATGGAGTTGCAGACGATGGAAAGATCGACACCGTTAAGCCGTGGCCTCATGGAAACTTCGGCTTCAAGAGCTCCTACTACTTGCTGGCGCTGAGGTTCTCCGTGGTTGAACTGCGTTCTGTTGATTCCTTACCCCTCGCCTGTTGTCATGTCATTGTCAATCTTGATACCCGTTCAAAACTCTCGCGAGTCTAAATGTGAGGTGCAGGGCAAGCCATTGTCATGGACTCGGGATGGTCCCTTGACGCCGCCTGCCGCTGCATACAAGGGATACGATCAGCACGACTTAGGCCGTGTACCGTGGACGTTTGTGGCATCGTCACTGCCTTCGACAAGTCTTTCGCCTTCACCTCCAAGGACGGGCCAGAGGCTGAGAACAAAATCTTTTGAGCCGCCTTTGGCGTGCAGCGCAGACTGCGCTGAACCCAAGGAAAGACCTGGTTAAAAGGACTTTGACCTTGGGAGTGCGGACCTTGGTGTGCAGTGTGCACACCGTGCTAATGCGCAATGTATTCGTCAACATGCTTTCGATTTCTGACAGGACGACAGCGGCATAAGCATGCAAGTCACAATATGGGGCGATCGTGCAAAAAAGGACCACCTCGAGAGTCTTTGACGTCTACTGGCTGCGATGTTGTTATGGACTGCAGGAAGACTCGGAGTTTCAGGGCAATCCAGTCGTCGCCATGAAAGGAGTATCGGTGAAGGCAGCAAAGCTGACCAAACAAACATCTTGAACTCGGCCACGTCAAGCATTCCTGCCAGGAGTGGCAGGGAGGTTTGAGTGGGTCTTTGATGGAGGCAACGAGCCTTTCGACAGTCGAGCAGTCAAACATATCACAATGTGATTCTGCTTTGCGACTTGATGCTGCAGGGCGGCTCGATCGCCTTCAACCCTGACATGCCCGAAGCGCACAAGGCCCAGCTGGCGGTTCAGTCCGCTTGATGCGCGATGTTGCCAAGTCAATAAATTTGGCTTGAGATTCCAGACTAGGGCGGCTGCATGACAACCATCCGCACCATCCCCACCCCACCCCGCCATACCTCGCCCTCCGCTTAGGTTGTATGTCAGTTCAGACTCAGCTTAGCTTGGGTAAGATAGAGGCCTTGCCTCAGGGTGGGCTACTCGTCGTACCTTTAGTTAAGTTAAACTAGATGCGTATTAATGATATTAGGTGAGATTGGGTTAGGTTAAGTTATGTTCTGGTTAAAAAATGTCAGCTTAGGTTGAATTGGGTTAGGCTAGGGCAGCGTCGGATTGGTTGTCGGTGGGGTGTTTTGCAGTCGTGTTGTTTGAGCATGTTTAAGCCTTTGTGTCTGGCCTGTTGTCTCAACTGCCGAGTTATTATGGGGTACGCAGTTTTTGAATCCTCCCGACTTGGTTGCCCGGCGAACAGACCAGTTCCTAGCTGCGGCCACAGATATTGTGAAAGATTCACAAACTTCGAAGCCCAGAAGACGTGGCTTACCACGCACCTTGCAACCTCTCATGACTCGGACCCTTCCTTCTATCAGTTCAAGGAATTCTCTTTGCAGAGCCCTTGTTGCCAGGTGAAAAACTGGTGGACTCAGGGTGGCCATGCGCAGAACCTTACTTTCATTTCGCAGGCGCGGCATCTTTTCGTGTCGCATCTTGTTTCAGCTGAGCATGCACTTGTGACTACATTGCAGACTAGTGGCGGTGGTGGAGCTCGAATCGCGGGCAAGCTCATGGATGTATTGGAGATGAAGCAGAAATCAGAGCAGGCAGCAACGATCTGTCTTCTCACCTGACTCGCGAATTGAAAGTCAAAGAAGTGTGAAAGCTTGGTCTGCCAGGTCCTGAACGAACAAGAGATGTACTCTGCCTACTGCCGGCTTTCCTCGGCACACGCCTTATCAGAGCAGTCCGACGTACCGAATATGCCTGAGACTAAAGAGAAATTGACAGTGCCCGAAGGTCCAGCTTCGCAAGAGGGACGAAATCCAGCCTGGGTCTAAGTCTAAAATGACACGGGCTGCACTTTTTTTGACATGAGAGACATGGCTAAGCCATCCCGCGACCTCAACCTGTACAAACCTTCGTAAAGCGGT